TATGATTTCGCAACTAGTTATTATTTTACGGTCATTGGATATTGTAGATTTCGCAATGCCAGATTCGTTTCTCTGTTCATTGAAACATCTGAAATATGATTTTTTTTGCAACCATGCAATGATTTTTACAACCAAGTAATTGGTTGGTTAATCATATATTCATTTACCACCAAAACTAAATGGTCATTGTATGTACACTTCTATTGCGACTATGATTTACCAAAAAAAACAATGGTGGTTGTGTATGTATCTATAGAGACTATCCTTTTAACAACCAAAACGATATGGTCATTATATGTGTATTTATAGCGACTATTCTTTTAACAACCAAATCGATATAGTCATTATATGTGTATTTACAACGACAATTCTTTTAACAACCAAAAAAATATGGTCATTATATGGTAATCTACTACGACTATTGTTTACCAACTAAAAATAAATGGTCGTTTTATATGTATCTATAGCGAATATTCTTTTAACAACCAAATCGATATGGTCATTATGTGTGTATTTATAGCGACTATTCTTTTAACAACCAAAATGATATGGTCATTATATGTGTATTTACAACGACTATTCTTTTAACAACCAAAACAATATGGTCATTATATGTGTATCTACTGCGACTATTGTTTACCAACAAAAAACAAATGGTCGTTGTATATGTATCTATAGTGACTATTCTTTTAACAACCAAAATGATATGGTCATTGTATGTATATTTATAGCGACGATGTTAACACTACAACGACAATAAATTTTCATATTAGCGAGTGAAAATGTGTCGCTGATGATTACATCTTTAGCGACCACAAAATATTTGGTCGATGTATGTGTATCTATAGCGACACTATTAATACTACAACAACCATAAATCTTCATATTAGCGAGTAGAAATTTGTCGGTGATGAACACATCTTCAGTGACTATTATTAAATGGTCACAAAATATATGCTTTTAGTGACCAACTAAATAAGTCGTCACTGGGTACTTTTAGTAGCTAACCTGTCGTGGCCATTTTTATTTGGTCACTATATATTTTAACGACCATTTTTTAACTTTTAGCGACCATACCTTAGGGTCGCTAAAACCAAATTTTCTTGTAGTGGTACTAGAGTTTTTTAACTCGATATATTGGTTTGATTGTGTTATGATGTGTTTTAAGTATTTTATTGGTTATGTTGGAATTAATTTACGTTGGTTTTGTTCTCAATGTTTTTGTCATTTCAGTGGTATATTGTTTGTAACACAATTTCATACTACTACTATAACCGTAATATACTATCATAGCATATTAATGTACTATATTGAAATCATTTATATACTATGTGGTTGAAAAATACAGTTGTTTGTTATATGAAATTTTTATGTATACTAATGTAAAATCATAATTGTGATGAGATTATCTCATCGATTGCAGTAATATGCTATTCATCACATGTTTGTTTTTTGGTGTGTCGAAAGTGTTGCAGACAATTCAATGATATAGGATGTACAATTCAATACTATATATTTTAGTACCATATTAATGTACAATTATTATCATAATAATATACTATTGGCATTTATGTAATATACTATGTGCTCCCATTTGCATAGAGATAGTACTCAAGAAACACAGATATTGTATTTAGTTCCTAAATTGCTGTCAATAAGTTAATACTGAAAACATTATATTTCATATGTCAAAATAAGTTTTGTGGATGTAGAACTGTGATCTGTAGAATTCGGAGTGCACAAAGGCGTCGATCCACCGTATATCGTGCTCTATTCGCTTTGGTGATTTTTCCAGTGAATCATATTATTTTTTCTGGTTTTTTGGAATTTTCGTAGAATGTGGTAGTGGGTTGAGTGGCGATAGTGGTTTTAATGGGGAAATAGGGAGGGATTTAGGTAACGATATTTGTGGGATTTTGATTGAGGGTATTGATGGAATTTAGAAAAATATATGTTTTTATCTAAATGACAAATTTGAGTTTGGATCTACCCCTATTACTTGTAAGACTATGGGGGTTATATCTAATGGACATATATATATATATATATATATATATATATATATATATATATATATATATATATATATATATATATATATATATATATTGTAGACATCGAAATTTTGACATAAATTACTAATTAATAACGAAAATAAATGAGTTATTAATTAGGTCTCAAATTAATTAAAGTCCATAACATATTTGGGCTTTAAAATGTCTGGCCCACTCTGCAAGTTGAGAAACCCTAACCCTAGATTGTGCCTATAAAAGAAGATCTTTGGTGTCTAAAAATCAGACTCACATAGACACATATCGAGCTTTCAAGCTCAAGTCTCGAGCCTCCGCCTCGAATTCATAACATATTAGAATTCGAGGTGTTCGTGATAGGAAATCATATGTTCAATGCCTCGAATTCATAACATATTTAAATTCGAGGTGTTTTCGTGATAGAAATCATATGTTCGATTCAAGAACAAGCTTTTAAGCCCATGAATGAAAATTAGAATAGGAGAGAAGAATCAGGGGAATTACGGAGATTGTAATCCACATCGTTTTGATTGATAAATTATTTGTTCCCTATTTTCTTGTCTCGTATTTTTATTATATTTTGCAGACTCGAAAAATTTGTGGTTAACAAATTGGCATGCCCGGTGGGACGATCTTCACCCCTCATCTCTTTCTCCGTTATCAAATTCCATGTACGTTCGATGGCTCCCAAGAAGAAGAGACCTTGGTGTTTTTGCTACCGGTAGTCAAATCATACACCGGGGGCAAGCCAATAGACAACACTCCCTCTGAAACTCATCAAGTTTGAGAGAGTAGACTTCAAATCGCTCATCCCTATAACTTGGATGAAGGCCCAACAAAAAAAAAAGAAAAAAAATCTTATTTGGAGAATATCATATGATATTCGTTGGTGGGGCAACAAAGAATTTCTGACATTACAGTAAAAGGAATTTTGCAATTTTTTTTTTCTTGCATATTTTCCTTAATCTAATATGGTAAACATCGAGGATTTTGTTCTTGATAGGAAACAAATGATCTGTGCAATCATACGCGATCAAGATATGCAAAGAGGATCTGCCAAATCTTGTTTCCTAAAATTAGCAAAGTCCAGCAGAACAAGAAAACAAAGAACGTCCATGGCGGAAAGGATCTCATCTCAAAAGCTCCTGATGGTGGATCTACGGCGAACATCCCAAATCTGCCGGATTTCATCATCTTCAAAGGTTGTAGACTTGAAGAAGCCCCAACGATGCTGCCACTTGATAGCCGGAAAAAAAAAAAAAAAAAAAAACTCCAACTCGCTCAACAAGCCGTTCAGAATCACCATCGCCGCTTGACGCACTCATCGGTGTTATCATTTTCTACCTCGGTGCAAACCTCCGTAGCTCCACTCGTCCAAATATGCCGCCGCCATTGGGAGTGTCGCACCATGTTTTCCACTGGAGATTCAATTATAACTCCCGAAAGCTAGTTTTGCACCGAAGAACTACCGATCGCCGCCTGAAGCACTCCCGGTGTCATCACTTTGTCTCCTCTACGAGGAGAAGCATGTTTGTTCGAGGATGCTGCTGCAACAAGCTCATCGGATTTCCGCTTCAAATTGATGTCAGTACGTAGGTTCCACCATCGCACTCTGATTCGCCGCCTAAATCAGTCGCCGGAGTTATCACCTATAGCGCCGTTGCACACGTATCCAAATCCCTGTGAAACCTGAGCTCCCGCAGGCTTGAGAGTGGTGCCGCTTCGTTGCCCGGCAACCACGAATACGTTGCCTCGAAGCTGCTCCTAGCCCCGTTCCATCTCCTCTATTTTTCTTGTCATTGTGTGTGGCCGGTGTGCGTGGGTAATGCGGAAGTTGTTCTTGTTCTCCAAACATGCCTCTACGGAGTCTTGGTGGCAAGAATGGCAAATACCCAATTGTTAACAAGTCTTTTAAAATGCAATTGGGTCCTTCGTGTGGAAATACAGAAATAGTAATTGAGTCGCAAACTCAGAAAGGCGAAATTACATTTCCACCCCAAATATCAGAAAATGGACTTCCCATTTAAGTCCTAAAAAATGATGAAAATTCCATACACCCCAGAAATGGAGGAAAGGAGTTTTGAAGCCAACAAGTGAAGGAAAATTCGAGTACTTCAAGTCTCGTCTCACAAATATGCAACACGTTCTTCGCCGAGACTAGAAGTGGGGGCATTTGTAGACATCGAAATTTTGAGATAAATTACTAATTAATAATGAAAATAAATGAGTTATTACTTAGGTCTCAAATTAATTAAAGTCCATAACATATTTGGGCTTTAAAATGTCTGGCCCACTCTGCAAGTTGAGAAACCCTAACCCTAGCTTGTGCCTATAAAAGAAGATCTTTGGTGCATCTAAAAATCAGACTCACACAGACACATATCGAGCTCTCAAGCTCACGTCTCGAGCCTCCGCATCGAATTCATAACATATTTGAATTCGAGATGTTCGTGATAGGAAATCATATGTTCGATTCCTCGAATTCATAACATATTTAAATTCGAGATGTTCGTGATAGGAAATCATATGTTCGATTCAAGAACAAGCTTTTAAGCCCTTGAATCAAAATTAGAATAGGAGAGAAGAATCAGGGGAATTACGGAGATTGTAATCCACATGGTTTTGATTTATAAATTATTTGTTCCATATTTTTCTTGTCTTGTATTTATATTTTGCAGACTCGAAAATTTGCGGTTAACAAATTTGGCACGCCCGGTGGGACAGTTGAGATCATCATTAAAACGACAACGAGAACTCCTTCATACTGTTCAAACTGAAATTCGTGAGATTAAAGAAGAGATTGCTGCCATTGAAAATACATCCCCTTTAAGTGGTGATTTGGAAGAAGAATTGCGCGCTTCTGCCGAGCTTTTAGAAGCTGCCAAAGAAAAGTTGAACGATTTAGACCCTTTCGCTTGAGCTAGATTTAAATTTTTTTTTTTTTTGTTTATTTCACTTTTATGATTCATGGAAAAAAAATTCTCCTTTTCCATCTTGCTTCATTAGTATTCTGTACTTGTATATTCAACGATTTTTTTTTTTGTTTAAGGAAAGGACTGAACTTAGAGGATATCTAAGTTGCCTACGTACCCCGAGTGGGATCAAGTCATAACGTAGTTCAAAGAAAAAAAAAGATACATTTTTTTTTTGATTTTTTTTTTTAGGAAAGGACTGAACTTAGAGAATATCTAAGCTGCCTACGTACCCCGAGTGGGATCAAGTCATAACGTAGTTCAAAGAAAAAAGATAGAATTTTTTTTTCTTTTTTTTTAGGAAAGGACTGAACTTAGAGAATATCTAAGCTGCCTACCTACGTACCCCGAGTGGGATCAAGTCATAACGTAGTTCAAAGAAAAAAAGATAGAATTTTTTTTTAGGAAAGGACTGAACTTAGAGAATATCTAAGCTGCCTACGTACCCCGAATGGGATCAAGTCATAACGTAGTTCAAAGGAAAAAAAGATAGAATTTTTTTTTTTTTTGTTTTTAGGGAAAGAACTGAACTTAGAGAATATCTAAGCTGCCTACGTACCCCGAATGGGATCAAGTCATAACGTATATCAAAGAAAAAAAAAGATTTTTTTTTTTTTTCTGTTTTTAGGGAAATGACTGAACTTAGAGAATATCTAAGCTGCCTACGTACCCCGAATGGGATCAAGTCATAACGTAGATGAAAGGAAAAAAAGATAGAATTTTTTTTGTTTTTTTTTTTTTTAGCCGTGCACAGTTTCAACTCATGCGGGCCAAGAGCCTTCTCCTCCGCTTCATGCGTAGTACCGCTTCAAGAACTTTCCATTTATCGGACCAATTCTTAAACCATCTTCGGCAACCAACTTGTACGCTCTATTTGTGAAAGATTCTTTGACGACATAAGGACCATCCCACTTTGAAGTAAATTTATTTCCCGTTTTATGAGTGACGATGATGGGCCTCCTTACGGCAAGTACCAAATCTCCAACTTGAAACGATCTTGGCCGCACCTTCTTGTTAAATGCCCTAGAAAGACGAGCTTAGTAGCATTCAATACTTTGTTGTTTCTCTAATCTTTTCTCGTCAAGAGCTTCCAATTCTGCAAGACGCAAACGAGCATTTTTTTCTTGAGTGAGTTCTTCTTGTATAGCTATCCTCAATGATGGAATTTGTTTTTCAAGAGGCAAGACCGCTTCCACACCGTACACCAACGCATATGGAGTGGCTTGAGTAGGTGTTCTATACGTTGTTCTATAAGCCCATAAAGCTTCTCCCATCCTTTCGTGCCAATCACGTTTTGACTTGGCGATCACTTTCTTCAGCAAATTACATAAAGTTTTGTTGAAGGCCTCGGCGAGTCTGGACGTGCCAATTTCGTCCCACTGGGCATGCCAATTTGTTAACCGCAAATTTTCGAGTCTGTAAAATATAAATACAACACAAGAAAAATATGGAACAAATAATTTATTAATCAAAATGATGTGGATTACAATCTCCGTAATTCCCCTGATTCTCTCCTATTCTAATTTTGATTCAAGGGCTTAAAAGCTTGTTCTTGAATCGAACATATGATTTCCTATCACGAACATCTCGAATTTAAATATGTTATGAATTCGAGGAATCGAACATATGATTTCCTATCACGAACATCTCGAATTCAAATATGTTATGAATTCGAGGCGGAGGCTCGAGACGTGAGCTTGAGAGCTCGATATGTGTCTGTGTGAGTCTGATTTTTAGATGCACCAAAGATCTTCTTTTATAGGCACAAGCTAGGGTTAGGGTTTCTCAACTTGCAGAGTGGGCCAGACATTTTAAAGCCCAAATATGTTATGGACTTTAATTAATTTGAGACCTAACTAATAACTCATTTATTTTCGTTATTAATTAGTAATTTATCTCAAAATTTCGATGTCTACATATATATATATATATATATATATATATATATATATATATATATATATATATATATATCTCAACATCCAATTGATTTTGTTTTGGAGAAATTTTGAGGCTAATCAATCAATCAATTTTTTAACTGCTGCCTTGACTAAATTATATTATATTGCTCAATCTCAAAATACACCAAAATAACACCTTTGTTTGACTGTCAACATTTGATATGTGTTATGATCTATATATGCTTTCATTTTCTTATCTAGCAAATAATATTGTTACGTTTCAATAAATAATTAAACCCATTAAATTGACATCTATGGTAACAAAAATAAGATGAAGATTAATTTATTTAGTCTTTTCAAACTCAAATGTTAATTACTAACAATTAGGAGCTCAATCGCAGTTAATAGAAATAATACATAATATATTAAACAAATATAATAAAGTCCAAACACTCAGAATATGTCCCCATCCCCACATATTAGACTTATACTGTGCCTTCTATCTCTCTCTTCTTCTTCTTTCTTTTCCTACTAACAAGTGTTAGCGAGTGCAATCCACGTCATGTATCCATACTACAATTTAAAAAAACAAATATTAATAATAATAATAAATAAATAAATAAGTACTAAAATAATAATAAATAAAAATATTCTAACCAGTCAAATAGTCTCTGCAGTCTAAGACTCTCCAGTAGTCTCGCTAGTATGTGGTGTACGGAAGATCACGTACACTACAATCTGGTCTATACCTAAAACTAATCAAATAATGTTCGGAATCTGTATTATTGAAAAAAAAAGTTTTATTAGAAAAAAATTACTAATTATTTAGTTTTTAATTAGATGTAATGTTAATTAGGATTTACACACCCATATATTGTCATCTCCTTTGGCAAAGCCATAGATGCCCCAAATGACAACATTGTTGTTAGGACGCACGTCAGTGGGATAGGTAGCCCTGCACATTGCGTGTCCTAACAGCTCTAACCTATTATATAAAAAAAATGTTATATAAAAAATTATATAAATTAAATTCAATTTAAAGTTACTAACTCTACTTAATATTAATCTTTAACACGGTGCCTATAGCCGATGAATAGACTAAGATGAATGATCCAAAGCATATCCACCCATCGACCATAATCCTCAAGTCACCTTTCACATAAAATACGTGACAAAGGTGATAGTGCAAAATAATCCAAAGAGAATACCCGAGAAAGTAATAGAGCCACATGGGCGATGCAAATAGGGCAACGATGTACGGAATCACCGTGTACCCTACCATCGACTTCACGTCACGGATTTTTCTAAATGTATACCTACAAAAATTTGTAACTAACTTTTAGCTTTTATTTATTTATTATTTGTTAAATATGATCAAAATAAATATTTTATTGTAAGGATTAAAATGCACACTTTTGTTGTGTGTGAGGTAGGTAATGTTTTTATATTACTTTATGTTAAGGATATACTTTATTAATTATATTGGCTCACATAGATAAAGGCATGTCTATTTCGGCGTAAACAGACTAAGTCGTACCAAATTGGATTTAATTTTATGGCTTTTCTGAACCATAAGTTATATGTCCAATTTGAAAAAAAATGACAAAATTTCATTTTTTATTTTGGAAGTGTATTTTTTTTCATACTTCCATTTCGATTCTAATTCCGTAACTCTCGGGATCTAAATATTTCACCCGTGCTTCTTTGAAAATTATATAGAAAATGTACGAAACAATAGGATTACATAATAATGCTAAGATTATAATTAGAGATTTTGGGAATAATTCAGAAATATTGGAAAATTATTTCAGAATTTATGGGAATTAAAAATATAATTCCGGTCCCAATCAAAAATAAAAATTGGAATTTTTCACCAGCGATTCTTCGAAAATGATATAGAAAATGTACAATATTGTTAAAACAATAGAAGTATATAATTATACTAATATCATAATTAGAATTTTCGGAAATAACTCAAAAATATTGGAAAATTATTTCGTATTGTGGTATGTCATCATTTCTGGAATCAAAAATATAATTACGGTCCAGATCCAAAGCAAAAATTGGAGTTTTGGAAATAAGAGAGAGAGAGAGAGAGAGAGAGAGAGAGAGAGAGAGAGAGAGAGAGAGAGATTTATACAGAGTTCTCGATTATCGAATACTGTCGTTCAAAATTGAAATACAGGTTCACCAGGTTGACTTTCTAGTATTGTGCATGGGGATGTATGGTGAATGCCCAAATATACCAGAATTTCCTGCAGACAAAGGCCCCAAAGCATTCCAAGGAAATGTAATACAAATGGAGAGAGAGAGAGAGAGAGAGAGAGAGAGAGAGAGAGAGAGAGAGAGAGAGAGAGAGAGAGAGAGAGAGAGAGAGAGAGAGAGAGAGAGAGAGAGAGAGAGAGAGAGAGAGAGGTGAGATCTCAAGCAAATTCACTAGCGGACCTATGAAGAGACAGAGGGGCTGTAGCTCATTACTTTAGTGTGTGTTTACAAAAAAATATTGGTTATGCTGTTATGACAATGTAAATTTTGGATTCTAGGGGAGTGATGAGGTCGGTCAGATCAAAGAATATCGAACTCTCAACAGAATTTGTGAGGGTTTATTATAATATTCTTTCTGTATATACCTTTTTATAGAAAAAACATTCATTTGTGCTTATGATCCTACTTTGTGTGCAGATACATTCTTGATTCTGCTCATCACAATTTGATTTGGTGATGGATTTTTTCACTGGAACTAGGGGTAGTAAACGAGTCGAGCCGACTCGTGAGCACGATGAGCCGGCTCGAAAAAAGCTCAAACTCGGACTTGTGAGCTCTCCAACGTGCCGAGCTCGAGCCATTTTTAGTTGTACGTATATTAAAAAAAAAAAAAAAACAACAAACTGAGGTTGGCTCGAGCTCGAGCTCAAGCTCGATAAAAGGGACACGAGCTCGAGCTCGAGCTAAAAAAGAAGGAACTCGACGAGCTCGAGCTCGAGCTCGACAAAATAGACTCGAGGCGAGCTCGGCTCGTTCACACCCCCAACTGAAACAAAGTCTTCAGCTAATGTCACATTTCTTGAAAATGTTTTTTCTTGTTTGCAGACCTTGTTGATTTGTGCTTTAATTTTAGGTCAGTTATTCTGTACATTTAGCGCTCGTTAAGTTTTACATTGTTAGATCTGATATATTAATTTATTATATGATCTTATGTTCCAGTTTCACTTGTTCATGTGTCTTTGGGATCATAAGACGAATTCGTCTATTTAAGTCTTATGTTTTCCTACAACATTATCTTAGATATTCATCTATGACGCCTGTGAGCCTAGATAGACTTTGCTATTGTGCAAATAAACACGGATGGGGAGAATACTTCCCTTTCTGCTTTATATTTCAACTGTAATATACAGAAAACAGTATTTGGAATTGTTTCCAAATGGGGATGTAAAACAAGTCTTTAGATTGAAGAACATTTACGAGAATTAGTTAAGTTCGTTAAGTATTGGATTTCAAATGAATTAAAGTGAATTAAAAATTTGTTCAGATAATTGTTACGAGTTTAATTCAGGAGATTTAATTTGTAGTGTATTTTGTTCCTTTACGATTTCAAATCGGTTGTTCATATTTTATGAACCGAAAATGTCGGGTTTTTTTTCGGGTCGGTGTTTAATTCGATTTATTTTCGGTTTTGGTTTCATCTATCGGTTGATTAACGGTGAATTTGGACTTTCATTACATTTGCTTGAGAAAATTAACAAATAACAATACAAAATTAACTAATAAAAGACATGTCACAACCCAAAATTAACTAATAAAAACATGTCACATAGTGGCGTTCGAAGGATAGAGGCGCGGTAGGGAAAGACGGTAAATATTTATACTATATATCAAAACACGCCGTTTGGTATAAATCGATTCGGTTCGGGTAGTCGGTTCGGTAAGTTTTTTATTCTCCATACATAAACCAATATATTCGGTTATTAAATTTTGTATTTACCATATATGCGGTTTTAAGTCGGGACAGTGCATATTGGCTCGATTTTTTTCGATTTTTGGTTCGATTTTTCGGTTTCTCAGTTTTTTTGTTCACCCCTAATTTGGATTCTAGAATTGTGTAATGCGTTTCTGGAATTTTTAGATTTATATATTTTATTAGATTAATTGATTTATTGGAGTTTTTGAATATATTAAAAAGAATGTAATATTCCATAATTTCACCCAAACCACGAACTAATTCACAAATTACGCAAGTCTAATAAGTTCCAAATTTTTAAACATTTTATCACTTTATTGGAATCTGATTATATTTCTATTTTTTTTTTTCCATTTATGACATGATTTAATTTGGAATTTCTTTGTAGACAACTATTTTCTAGAAAATTTAGTATTTACTTCTTTTTTCTTTCGCCTCTGAAATAAGTTAGTGTCGTAGTTAATTTGCTTACATGACCTTTGTATAATTGTTAATGCATCATAATTGAGATTAGTAACTAATTCATATATATATATATATACATAATATCGAAAAATATCTGAATATACATTTTATTATTTTAAATAGAAAAAAGTAAAATAATAAAAAAAAGGAAGAAAAATGAAAATATGCATAATTGGTAATTATTCAAAAATGGAGGTCCACGATAAAGATAAAATGTGTAACCAAAGGCACACTATTTTTTTTACGAATATTTACGATATTCTTTATAATTGATGATGCTAAAATTTAGATCACCTGGTGTAGTGTAGAAAACGAGCTGGGAGAGCAAAGCGGATCAGTAGCTTGACAAAGTGATGATCCTGAGGTCCCTACGAAATAAGCACACGTGAACTAAGCCGGGGGTTGATCCGGCGAAAACCCCTCCGACGCTCAAGTCAGATGTACGGATCGTGAAAAAATAGTAGAGAGAGTTCAACTCTAGATTACTCGTGAATAATAGAACGTACATTTACAAATGAGTAAAACATCTATTTATATGTGGTTGATTGGGTTGGGCTTACTCTGTTGGGCCCAAGCCTTACTTTGAAGGTGCTTGGGCTTTCGTGTATTGGGCCCAATTGTAAGTTATTGGGCTTTCGTGTAGTGGGCCTAGTTATCAGATAATTTAAGGCCCATTGAGTCGGCCCAATTAGGTATATCATTAAGACCCCCAACTCTCGATTCGAGATGGGAGATGCGTTTAGGGGAATCCGGATCGTGTCGAGAGTTAATTGTGTTGTGGCTTGACAATTTTTCGTTAGCGTTGATTAATCTCCTTAATTTAAATAAGGGATAATTGTATTTATTTGGCAGCGAGGTATATATTTAAGGGATTTAAATATTATACCAGGGCCAGATAAATAGACTCCTTTTGCGGTGGAAAGAATTAAACTTCAACTATTGCGTAATAAATATGGGTATGTACTTTTAACTCTAGGTCTTCTTCTGTGCTATTTTTCTCTTGAATTTTTTTTTGCGGTAGAGTAGAAATTTTTAGTTTCTTGATTATTTCTTGGGGGAAAAATTTTTCTCATGTCGAACTCGGTTAATTCGAAATCGTTGCGAATTAAACTTCGAGATCCGGTTGAAGGGGGCAAGAAAACTTTTGGTACAGTGGGTATGGAACGTGAAAATCTTGTGGTATCGGGTGCGAAAATCGGATCCGCAGTGGGCGTTGCACGAAATTCTGTGCAGATGGGAGTAGTAGATGGCTCGGAGGCGGAAGGCGGCTTGAGCCGCGTCGCTAGCCGTCCCAAACCTGGTGAGAGGAATTCTCTTGTGGAGTGCGGGGAGCCGAGCCGAGTTGCTAAGGTGGCGGCTGGCACGGAGCCCGAGGGGAGGAGAGGGACACGTGAAGGGTTGGCTAGTGGGTAGGGCGCATAGGCGGTGGTCCCACGCGCACGTTGTATTGGAGCGTGCGTGGACGCGCACGCTCGGGAGGGAGGGGTGGGGTTGGGCGGTGACGCGCGCGTGGTGGCCAATCAAGGCGCGCGTGCGCGCGCGTCTTTGGGGGGGAGCTGCTGGCAGACGCGCACGCGCTGCCAAATAAGAGCGCGCGTGCGCGCGCGTCACATGTGGGGCCAATGCGCGTGAATGCACAGTAATTGGGGGGGTAGCGCGCGTGGTAGGGTTTCTTCGGACGCGACTCGCGCGCGTGAGAGCGCGTCCGGGCCCCGTTTTCGACGCGATTCGCGCGATCGGGTCGGGGTCTCGGAGTCGGCAGTTGACGATGAAGTTGATGCGATTCGGAGGAATTTTGGTCAGTAAGAAATCCTTGAGTCGTGGAGTGATGATTTGGAGTCTAATATTAATATTCGCTCTAGTGTTGTGGAAGATGGTTCTAGTAGGCGTCGTTACGGGCGTCAAGTTGTGGATTTCGGTAGCGACAACGATGATTCGATTCAAGCGCCTTCGGCGAGTGATCATGTGTTGCCTAGTAGTGAAGTTGAGCCGACAGATGAAGAGGAGGAGGAGGATAATATTCCTCCGGGTGACGTTGGGATTGACACGAGGAGGCAAAAGAAAAATAAGCCAATCAATTTGGACTTAGTTAAATTTGATTGTGTATTGACGAAAGAGCATTTGCATTCTATTCGTCGTTTATCTGGAGCGCCAAGTAAGGTCGAGTTGTTGTTGCCTTAGAAGGGCGACCGTTTGTACTCGCCACCCGATGGGTTTCATACGGTACTTTTGGGGTACTTGACGTGTACATCTCAGATTACTCCGCATCCGACCTTGTTGAATGTTTGCGAGGAATTCAAGATAGGGTATAGTCAGCTCACTCCCACTGCTGTTCTGATGTTCGAGGCGTTTCACTATAGGGTGGTTCGAGTAGGTCTTCCAGTTACTGTGAGTTTTTTTAAGGCGTTATTCATGTTACATCGGCCCACTAAGATGCCTTTCTTTTGTTTCCATCCTCGTGTTCCCTACCAATTCGTGAAGAGTGTGAAGTTATCCTTGGGGGAATGGAAGACCCATTTTTTTTATGTGAAGGCTCCCACTTTCGACGTCCCCGTAGTTTGGAACCCTACGTGCGAGAGTTTCAAGATTATTCCGAATATGGTGAAGAGGATAGAAGAGTCTAGGTTGTGTGATGTGGAATTTGACCCGAGGGTTTTGATTCCAAAGGCGAAGGGTCAGCACCGTATATCCTTTGAGTGATTGATTTTTTCATTTCTTCTTTTTTTTTTTTTTTGGTAGTTCTTTGGTTGTATATATTTCGTGTCTCTTATGTGGTTGTTTTCTTTTGTAGATGGGGGTATCACCTTCGCGGCACTTCGAGCTAAGGCGAATGGGACGTCGAAGAAGGCATCGAAGAAGGTTCCCTCTACGTTGGGAGGTTCTTCAAGTGGTTTGCCTCGTGAGGAGGTCCATGTAGAAACTCCTCGAGTAGTCGCAGATGACCGTAGCAGTGCTGGTGAAGTGGAGGGGCGTCCACCGACGAGGGATCGTGGCAAGGGAAAGAGGGTGGATACCGAGTATGTGGCTGTGCCTAAGCGTCCACGGGTAGACCCAGAGGAGACCTATGCTTTCCATGGTGGGGGAGGGAAACAATTGTGTACCTATGGCGTGAATCGCGACGGTAAGGAGTCGTATTGGGATGTGTCGGACCATGATCTGCGTATGTTGAGTACCGAGGGATTCGTTCGGGAGTATGACCGTGCTCGGATGTCTGGTAAGGGCCCTTCTCACATGTTGGAGTTGGCCGGTGGGGACATATGTCGGGTGAGTCCTTGTTTATTTAAAACCAGATTAAATGTTACTTCCTCTCTTCCCTGTGTAAATTTTTTTTTTTTTAGTTGGTAGCGACATGGAGATATCTCATGGAACACGGTAGGAATGTGGAAGCTAGGTGTTGGGTGCTAAATACCAACACGCCAGTGCACGTATCGCAAACAAGTAGTAAAGTGGACTCGTGAGAGTCGGATGTCGATCCCACAGGGAATACGCAAATTATTTAATCCTAAGTACCAAATTTTAACAATTACGATTTTTATCCAGCCTACACAAGTTTGTCAAATTAATCAATTAAATAATTAAACTAATTAAGAAAGCAAATAATCACGAGAAAATATCAATATAAAACGGATCTAGGATTTTATCTTCCCCCTATGCGATAATTCTTCAACCAGTTAATCTTCTATCATGCAAGTTACGATTCCCGATTATTAACCCAAGACACGAAATTACTCAAAACCAGCTGTCGCGTGTATTACAAGTCTAATATTCATAAACGATTTACTATATGTCTATGCAAACCTAGTATGAATAAAGCATTAAATAACAAGTCTCGCAAATGGCTACCTAAGGTATTATCTATATGTCTACGATAATACATGCAATTAACACACTCATCCGGTGAAAACTACTCGAAGGCTCTTCTATCCCTGTTCTAATTATTAAAACGATCTGTCAATCAATTCTAACAATAACTAATAGCAACATAAATGAGCTACGTTCATGCGCTAAGTAAGATCAAAATAGAAGAAATAATCGAAGAATTAAACTTCCATCAAAGTAGAAAAAGAGGTTTGAATTACCACATAGGGTTCCAACAAAATCCTAGAATAAAAACTTAGCTACTCATGTTCTCTACGAAAAACATAATAAAAATACGAAAAAACATAAAAGCTGTGAATAAAAATAAAAGAGGAGAACTATGATGAAGATTCGTCAAGTCTTCGTCTTCGTTCTTGTGCTCCTTGATTGCGTGTAAAAAGATTAAAAGATAAAAGATCCCTAATTGTGTGCTTTTTGGCCTTTAAATAGGGTACAAAAATATAAAAGGGCGGTTTCTTTGTGTAATTAGAATTCCTTCACTGCGCCACTTCGTTCACCCGGACGGCCGTGCGAGAATTCCTTCTTAAATCCGGACGGCCGTCCGGTCTTTAATTCTGCAGATTTTTGATTTTTCTACTTTTGCCCCACTTTTTCTCTGAATTTGCAGTTTTTACCCCATAAGTTGCCAACTCTTCAATTTGCACCTAAAATACAAATAATAACCATTTTAAGCACCAATTATCATTAAAACACACCAAAAGTTCCAATTAAAAGGTACAATTAAGTGTATAAATATACACTTAACACACCACCAAACTTGAACTTTTGCTTGTCCTCAAGTAAAATCAATTTATGAGCACAAAACATGACTATACATCTCATTACATAGATCGATTGGTCAACTTCACGTTTTCAGAACTTGCTATTATGATGATAATTCCTAGGTATTCGCAAGCTTAACATTCAACGGCACTTAGTCACTCACTATTACCAAAAACCACAAATCATACAATTGCTTCAAGTATCCAATATTTGCAAGTTAAAAATAGAAAGAATTTATACTTACATGCATATATTTGACTCCAAATACTCACCAAATTAGTCTACTCAACTAATATTGAACATTAAGCTATTGGGATCATTGGGACTTTGTGGCTTTCATTTGTTAGGCTCTTTGGTTCGAGGTAGGTAATATGGATATGTATGGCTAATTTTTCTTGGATTGAGGTGATTACGCCAAAATTTGAAAGATAGGCGTTTGAAACAATGAATTCACCTCTAGGGACTTAAGTAACTCGATTCTCCAAAATTCACACGTCAACACTTTTGCCTTTTAGGCAATGGATCGAGTTTTCAACACATTTCGACAACTAGCCCTTATTTCCCCCTTCTAATCTATTCTTCTTCTTCTTTTTCTTTAAATTTGTTTTTTTTAATCGAAGAATTTAGATATATATATATATATATATATATATATATATATATATATATATATATATATATATATATATATATATATATATATATATATATATATATATATATATATATATATATATATAGATAATTATTCAACAATCTCCACTTTTCTACCTTACACATATTGGCTAAAAGAAAGAACACCTTTTCTCCGAGGCTCAAATCAAGGTTCTAAGGATAAATTCGACAAAAATGGTAGGCTTGAAAGGCTCAAACGGTTCAAAGAAGGCCCAAATCATATCCCAAATCACTTACTACCCAACACTTCGTATCATAAATGTCCTAAGGTGAGATTTAAAACCGAACAAAGCATGATTTAGGAAAAATAAATTCCAAATTTAAAATACAAAATCTTCAACCAAAGCAATGCATAAGGTGTGATTCCTAGCAATAATTCACTTCTACGTTCCGTTGAATCGAAAGCTAAACGAATATCTACTCCTTATCAACATAAAACAAGTAATCTCATCATCAAACATTGACCATCTCCCATCATCATAATTCATCGATGCATCAAACAATTTTTTTTTTCTTTTTTTTTCAAAGCAAATAATAAAACGGAAATAATAAAACGGCAACTAAAACAAAAACTAAAGCATGCAAACTAACAAAGAAGAAAAACATAAATAAGGCGCACATAAAAGAAAACAATAGTTAACCACCCCCAAACTTAAAATTCACATTGCCCTCAATGTGATTCGCCCGGAGTTTAAGGATAGAAAACACCTGTTTAAGCGTCGGGACCATCGTTGGGTTGCGCACCAACTCCACCTTGCGCATGAGCATCACCATCCTCTTCATCATCTGAAAGCTCGGGGACCGGCTCAAGAATCGGTGCGGGCAACGGAGCCGGTTCGGCGCACTCGGGATTGCCGCATGCCAAATGGCGCACAATGGCTTGGAGCATCTTCCCCGACCACCGTTTTTTTGAAGGGATTCGATTGTGCTCACCTTGTGCTCCACTGTGGCAAGCCGATTTCTCGTGATCACCAACTCTCGCGCAATTCTTCTTTGAAAACGGCGGTCCGAACTTGTGCTTGGACCCTCGGGTGGAGCTATTGGTTGGTTATCGACGGGTGGCTCTCCATCTTGGATGGGTGCCTTGTATTGTCGGGCCGCAAGGTTAGTCATCGGCTTCGGAATCGATGTGAGAATATCCGTCGTTTTGGTTGGGACCTTCGCCTTCTTGCATAGACCGGTAACTAGGCAAGGGAAATAAAACCCTTTGGCGTTGTTGACCATGGAGGTCCAAAATCGATCGGAGATAATTTTGCCAATATTGATCGGTGTGCCCTTGAGAATGTAGTATGCAAGAGCACACCGTTCGGGATCCACGTGAGTCCACGAGCGGGTGGGAATGAGGTTGGCACAAATGAACGTAAGGCACGCCTTGCCTATTTGGTGGATGCATTTCCACTCCAACTCGTATGCCTCTTCGGTTGAGAGGTTGGACCAAATTGGTGGGCCATCGCACAACACCTCGCCGAGTTGATCCCTTGTGACCGCAAGTTGCATTTGCTCCCAATTGAATGGCTCATGTCGGAGGTGATAAAAGGAGTTGATGGCCTGGGGACACCAATCGACCCGCTTTCCTCGAACCGTGCTCGACTTCCGATCCGTTGTTAGGAGGATACGGGTGTTGGCGTAGAACTCGCGGACCAACGATAGGTTGATCGACCCCTCCGGTTCCAATAATGCTTGCCAACCTCGTCGTAGAAATTCTTTGTGCAACGGTGCAAATTGTGGAAGGGTGATCTCATATGCGCGCTCCGTCACAAGTTTCTTCACTTTTTGTTTCTCAAAACGAGCCTTGGCGCCTTCGACACAAAAAGCATCGTCGTCCGGTGTTGGAATTTGATCGGTTTTCTTGCCCTTCCCCTTGCCTTTAGAAGTGCCTTCGCCTTGTGAGGTGCCCTCCCCGTCACGTCCTCGTTTCCCCATGACTTGAGAATGCGTGTGGAAGGGATTAGAAGTGAATTGATGTGCAAAATTTCCCCCAAACTTGACTTGGGCAATTCGTCGAACACCTTGTGGGCGTTCTTGGTGGAATGGGTTTGTGGAGAAATTTGCACCTTTCTTGAAGCCTCTCTGCACAAATCACCAACAAGCAACAATGTTTGAGTGTTATGTGTGTGTAGTTGGTGGAATTTAGGCGAATTTGTTCAAAGAAAATCGAAAATTTAGAAAAGAGGGGGTTAGGGTTCGAATTAGGAGAGAAAAAGGAATTAGAATTGTGGTTTGGAAAACCCCTATTTAATATGCCCGATTTTTTTATTCGCACGGCCGTGCGAGATTTAGGGGAACAATCCGCACGGCCGCGCCCTTTTGCCGAATTGGGCAGTAGCCCCTTCAAATCTCGGACGGCCGTGCGAGATTTAGGTGAAAAATCCGCACGGCCGTCCCGTTTCCCGATTTTATACAGTAGCATCACCGAAATCTCACACGGCCGTGTGAGATTCCTGCCTTTTTCTTGCACGACCGTGTGAATAATTGCAATTAGGTCCCTGAAAAATACAAACTTCTTATTAGTGCCCCTGAAACTTTTTTTTTTTTTTTAGAAAAATAAAATAAAAACAAAATTAAAAATTTAAAATAACATAAAATAAGAAAAACGAAATCTCGGGTTGCTTCCCAAGAAGCGCTAAGTTTACAGTTTTCAGCCGGACTTTGTCTGCTTCTTTGTTCAAGCTAACGTGACCGAAGTCACTTGGCAATTGAATTCCCCTCCACGATAATGCTTGAGGCGTTGCCCATTGACTTTGAACGATTTTTCGGTTTTGGGATCCAATAATTCGACTGCGCCGTGAGGAAATACGTCGAGTATAGTAAACGGTCCGGACCATCTTGACTTTAGTTTTCCCGGAAACAACTTTAGACGGGAGTTGTAGAGGAGAACCAATTGCCCCTTTTGAAATTCTCGATGCAATATCTTGTTATCGTGCCAACGCTTGGTTTTCTCCTTGTATACACGATTGCTTTCATACACATTCAATCTCAATTCATCGAGCTCGTTGAGTTGCAGCATTCGTTTCTCCTTGCACGCTTCAATATCGAAATTCAGCTTTTTAATTGCCCAAAACGCATTATGCTCCAATTCAACCGGTAGATAACACGCCTTCCCATAAATCAAACGAAACGGTGTCATCCCAAGTAGAGTTTTGTAAGCTGTACGATATGCCCAAAGTGCATCATCTAATTTTCTCGACCAATCTTTCCGGGTAGGACTCACAACCTTTTCGAGGATGTTTTTGATTTCACGATTCGTGACCTCGGCTTGCCCGTTCGTCTGAGGGTGGTAGGCCAATGCGACCTTGTGCTTTACTCCATACTTGGCCAAGAGTGCTTCGAATTGTTTATTGAAAAAGTGAGTGCCTCCATCACTAATAATTGCTCGTGGCGTTCCAAAACGAGTGAAAATCTGTCTTTTTAAGAAAGCACAAACCACTGCAGAATCATTAGTAGGAAAGGCGGCCGCCTCAACCCATTTAGATACATAATCGACGGCCACTAAGATGTATAGGTTATTGAATGATGGGACAAAAGGTCCCATAAAATCTATCCCCCATACATTGAAGGGCTCTACTTCGATCATTGTATTTAATGGGAGTTCGTTCCTCCTTGAAATATTACCAACTCGCTGGCATCTATCACAACTTGAAACAAACTTATAGCAATCTTTAAACAAAGTAGGCCAGAAGAAACCTGATTGAAGCACCTTTCTCGCCGTGCGCTCACCTCCATAATGTCCCGCATAATCCGAGCCATGGCAGTGAAAAAGTATATCTCCTTGCTCGCTTGCCGGTACACATCTTCGAATGACTAAATCGCTGCATTGTCTAAACAAAAAGGGTTCTTCCCAAAGTAGAAATTCACATCGTGTAAAAACTTTTTTCGTTGACGAAAAGTGAGCTCGGGTGGAAGTACACGGCTAACTAAATAATTCACAAAATCCGCATACCATGGTACTTCTTGATTATTAATAACAAGCAATTGTTCATCCGGAAAATTTTCATTAATGCAAATTGGATCTTTGAATTCCGTTTCTAGCCTAGATAAATGATCGGCTACTTGGTTCTCGCTACCCTTACGGTCACGAATTTCCAAATCGAACTCTTGCAATAATAACACCCACCTAATAAGTCTAGGTTTTGCCTCTTTCTTTTCTATCAAATATTTTAAAGCTGAGTGATCCGTGAAGACAATGACTTTGGTGCCTATAAGATATGATCTAAATTTTTCGAATGCAAAAACAACTACTAGCAACTCTTTTTCAGTGGTGGTATAATTCAATTGTGCATCGTTTAGAGTTTTACTAGCATAGTAAATTGAATGAAAAATTTTATTCTTTCATTGACCCAACAGGGCACCTACCGCAAAATCGCTGGCATCACACATAAGCTCAAAAGGTTCATTCCAATCGGGCACAACAATAATAGGAGCAGTTACTAACCTTGTTTTGAAGTCGTCGAAGGCTTTGAGGCATTCGTCATTGAAATCGAATTTGACGTCCTTCTCCAACAAATTGCACAATGGTTTGGCTACCTTGGAGAAATCCTTGATGAACCGCCTATAGAATCCCGCATGTCCCAAGAAACTTCGAATCCCCTTTACGGAAATTGGTGGCGGTAATTTCTCGATTGTCTCGAGTTTTGCTCGATCAACTTCTAACCCCTTCTTTGACACCTTGTGTCCTAGCACGATCCCCTCTTGCACCATAAAGTGGCACTTTTCCCAGTTGAGCACCAAATTTGTCTCTTCACACCTGCGAAGAACCTTAGCCAGTATTTGGAGACTAGTGTCATACGTATCACCGAAGACAGAAAAATCATCCATAAAAATTTCAAGACCACATTCAACCATGTCCGTAAAAATTGCCATCATACACCGTTGAAAAGTAGCAGGAGCATTGCATAAACCAAAAGGCATACGTCTAAAGGCAAAAGTACCAAAATGACAGGTAAAGGTGGTTTTGTCTTGATCCTCGGGAGCTATGGCGATTTGGTTATAACCGGAATACCCATCTAAAAAGCAATAGAATTCTTAACAAGCTAGCCTATCAAGCATTTGATCAATAAAGGGCAACGGGAAGTGATCTTTTCGAGTGGCTTTACTCAATTTTCTATAATCCATGCAAATTCGCCAACCCGTTACTGTCCTAGAAGGGATTAATTCATTTTTTTCGTTTTTTATAACAGTCATTCCCCCTTTCTTGGGTACACATTGTACCGGACTAACCCACGCACTATCAGAAATAGGAAAAATAATACCTGCGTCTAGCCACTTGATGATTTCTTTCTTCACAACTTCCTTCATGATGGGGTTCAATCGCCTCTGTTGTTCCATCGAAGATTTATGGCTCTCCTCCAATATGATCTTGTGCATGCAAAAAGTTGGACTTATGCCCTTGATGTCGGCAATTGTCCATCCAAGTGCTAGCTTGTGCTCTCGCAAGACCTCCAAAAGTCTCTTTTCCTGTAGACCTGTCAAAGATGAAGAAATAATAACAGGTAAGGTCTCATGAGCTCCAAGATACATATATTTTAAACGAGATGGTAAAACTTTAAGCTCAAGTTTCGGAGGTTCGATCACTGAAGGCCTAAAAGTGACAGATAACGGGATCTCCGTCTCCAAACTCTCAAAGCGTGGTCTTGACAGCGGCTTTGCCGAATCCAACCAACATAATTGTTCCGTCACTTCTTCTTCATCTTCAACTGATGTTCCTACACTCAAAGATGCTTCCAACGGATCCGCATTTAAAGGTTCAACAAAATCAAAATTCAATTGATCTAACACATCAAAAGCAAAGCATTCATCACCCTCTTGAGGGTGTTTCATTGTACGGAAAACATCAAATTTAATCGTTTCATCCCCCAAAG